TTTAAAAATAAAATTTTATTGATAGTTGCTTATTAAAAATTTTTAGTTTTTAAAAAAATTATCACCGCCATTACTTTTGCCGGAGACTGTATATTCATATACGTAAAATTTTGTTTGACGCGCGTTCAATTGCAAGTATAATTAGAAATAAATGTCCAAATATTACATTATTATGAATATTTACAGATTTTTGATCACTTAGGTATGTCTTTTATCCCTTCAATGGTCACGCGGTCGTATACGGCCGCGAATTTATTTGTGCGCGCAAAACTTTTCTGAGGGTATCACTTCCTAATGTGAAAATGATCGTTGAGATTCAGCCCATAGACCTATAAAAAAAAAATTCGGCCGTTGTCCTTGTAGTTTTCGTAAAACCTTCATTAAAAGTTATACAACCGGAGAAAAAATTATTATTTTGGGCAACTATTTTGCATATCATTCCTAGATCCACCAATAATAATGCAATATCTGTGAATAAGTTCTATTTATTAAAAAATTATTTATTTAAAATATTAAAAATTTTCTTTTACATTTATTCCTATATACATGTAAATCATGTAAGCATTTATTTAACGAATTTTTATAGAATATTTCTCTTTTTAAAAAAATTATAAATTCTAACTTGTATAACTCATATAAACCACATACACCCTTTCATAAATTTATACATCTGATTTGCCAAATAAAAATCGAAATTGAAAATCAAAACGAAACGACAACGACAGCGACAATGACAACGGCATCGACAACGACATCGACATCGACAACGCCAACGGCATCGAAAACAAAAACGAAAACGTAAAATGTTTATTATACAAATATGAATAATTAAAAATAAATGAAACGAATATCAATCAAGTAGAACGAATTGCAGGAAAATCCAGTAGCCTGCTCGTATAAATTGCTAGAGGATGAATAGTTGGTTGGGAGAAAGGGGTTTTTTCGAGTTCCAAGAATTTTTTATCTTCGGCATCATCAAATTGACGACTAATTTCGTTGGGACTTGGATTATCACAAGTATCGGATACCCATTTTCCAGTAATTTCAAATAATTCCTTTGCGGTCGGTCGTCTTTCCGGGTCGCTTTCCCAACATCTTCTCATAAGGTCAATAAAAACTTTTGGAAAATTATTTTCATATATTTTTGGCCTTTTCCCATTTACGATTATTTCATTTGCAAGTTTTTCATCGTGAGCAATGTCTGCAAATGGACGGATTCCAGATCCTAGTGACCACATAATCATCCCAAAGCTATAAATATCCGACGCGCTCGTATAATGTTCACCTAGTAAAACTTCAGGTGCTACGTATGGCAATACTCCATAGATCTTCTTTCTATCCAATGATTCAACAATAGTATTATTTGCCCAAGTATTTAAACCAACATCAGTAATCGCAACATCAAGGAGATCACCTCTATTATCAATCAATATATTTCCACAATGAAAATTTCCGTGACATAATTTTTCTCTATGTATGCATTTCAATCCACCAGCGATCAACCAAATGATCTCAACTATATCTCGCCAACACAATAGTCCTTCTGATTTGTCAAGGAATTTATAGATATTTCCGTCTTCATAGTACTTTAATACCAAACAATAATTAGATGTATCGTCACATGTTATACCAAAAAAATCTACAATGTAATTGTTTTTTGTACATCGATGGAACTCATACAGCTATAAATAAATAAAGTTGATGGGTGAATTTAAAACTCTGAAAATTTCAAAATAATAAAAAAAAACAATAAAAAAATTTTTTTTACTTTGTTTACGAATTCTTGACTGAGCTCTTGCGAATTATCAATTTTTTTGATAGCAACTTTAGTTGGGCCATGTCTATTATAGTACTCTAAATCACGATCCCACATAGACAAAGGACCACTCAACCAGTACGCAGAATGGATTTCACCAAAGCAACCTTTATCACGGTATTCAATAAGTTCAATGTCGTCCCATTTGATCCACTCTAAAAGATCATGATGAGTTGAGTTTACCTGTGTATATCTAATAAGTTCGTCAATCTTCAAATTACCACTCGACCACCTATCAAAATTTTCAATGTGATAATTACGTTGGCAATTAATACAAAATTTCAGGTTAGTCCGAGGTTTATTACATTGAGGGCAATTACCATAAAAATTACCGCTGCTTCTAATCTTCTTCATTTTTAAAAAATCAATCTTGGAAAACCTTCTCAATTTATTGGAAATATAAATTTTCCTGTTTAAGCAATCAACATTTGTCAGCGTAGACCAAAATTTTGAAACGCGTTTTGGAGTTTCCAAATTTTCTTTTTTTAGGCTCTTATTATTACAATTCTTCTTTGGACAAATTTATCTCTTTGGCGATCACTAACAGATTAATTATTGCGGGCGTACGAGAAGTATCACGTTGCACTTATACTTTTTCCCAAAATAGTACTAAATTTTAATTTTTTAAATTTCCGTTTTGGTAATTTGCACAATAATGAAGGAGGTGGTATTATTTAAGTTAGTAGATATTCACATGATGAAAGAAAGCATTTATAAATCCATTGTAAAACATATAATTATTCAATACTATATAATAACGTAATGTTTATTCGTGTCGGAAACAATGTAACATTTTCAAAGGAAAGCAATATAATAAAAAAACTATAAATAAAAATTGTATATGAAACTAAATGAAAATCATAGTAAATAGATCAAAGCTTTTAGATTATTAGAGAATTTTTTTTCTTACTAAATAAAAAAAATTTTGAAAAAAATTTGTTAATGGCCAAATGAGGTAACTTTATTATAGAAAACTTAAAACAACAAAAATATAAAAAGTTTCATTCGATTTTATTATGAAAAAAAAAGTTAAAGTTATTAATATGTTAAAGATACTAAAAAATCCGCACATAATAATTTGCTATGAAAATGCCATCAATTCTAGTTTACAATTAGAAAACTTCTTTAAATTGTCCATTTTCCTTTTATATGGATATTCAAAAACTACTTAGAATAATCAGCTTCTAATTCAAATCCTTCTGTAAACAATCTAAAGGTACTTTTTGCAATCGAAAGAAAGAGAACTTTATTATAAATTTCAAAATACTTTAGTTTCTGTAAATTTACTGCAAATCGATTGGAATTGTTTTTCGAAGTAACCGATTTCCTTATACCACCAATACTTACTTTTACTGTACCATGACTGTGGTAATTCATTTCTGCTTTTAAAAAATTCCTAAAATGAACAGGAAGAAGAACTTTTGAGAAATCTTATAATTTAAATTAGGATCATTAGAAATTACCTTTTAATTTGTGCCCTTTTTGTTAATTGATTTATTTGATTAAACAGTGTAGGCCACACAATTTTTTTACAAAGGATTAATAAATAAATAAATTGCATCGCCAAGTATTAATTATCTATTTAAAATAGAATGAATAATACTAATCCTGCCTATATAAATGTCAAATTTAATAAGATTATCCCTCCCATGCAGGTTATAGGACCCGGAAGGATTTTGATTTTTAAAAAGGGAAAGAACCACCTGTCCCCTCTAAATTTTTTCATCATATTTTCGGGGTGAAATGGTCAGATTAATCTTTTTTTAGATCATCAGAATATTTTGATTTTTAAACACTTTAATCAGATGACAAGCTCAGACATCGTTTGTTTCAAGAAACTAATTGAAAAATGCACATTTTGTTATCACAGGTGCCTTTATATAAGAACAAATCGCTTATAAAAACTCCTTTTATTGTCACAGATCAATTTGATAATAATTTTCCCTTCTTTCTATAAAAGAACAACCTATACAAGAACTAAAACTTTTTTTTTCAAAGACGTTTTAACTTGTGTAAGAACAAATGCGTGAAAATTTTAATTAAATTAAATAATGAAAAAGAGCCTATTAGTGACTAACTTAGAAAGGAAATATGTATTTACAGGTATTCTTCCTGGTGACCAAAGTTTACAAATAAATCCAACGATGGATGATGATAATGAGTTTGTCAATCCATTTAATAATTTGTTAACTAATGATAATAATCGTTCATCATGTTGAAGAATACACACTATTTGGTCGATGAACCACTTGCAACTGAAGATATTCTTAGTGATAGAGGAATTGTTGAAATGTTTTTAGAAGATGCGCAAATTGAAGCTGATAATGTTTCAGATCCTATTACTACCGATGTTTACTATTAAGAACCTCATAAAGTTTTAAAAAAAGTGATTAGGTTTGAAGGGAACCAGGATAAAATAATAATAATAAATTTTCTTACTCTCGTTATAACGGTCCTTGTTATAACGGATTTTCGTTACAACGAACAAAAGTCTTTCAATAAAAATTTTGTTATAACGAATTTATTAATAATAATAAACCGTATAATAATAACAAAAATTTAATGAGAATTCTCTGTACCGAACTTTTGTGGCTGATTTAAAAAACTTACGATATTAATATAAAAAATCTTCCGAAAAAATTTAATTAAATAAAATCAGCTAATAAAACTTATATAAAGTCAGCCGAGAACCTTTTAAATGATAAATAAAACTTATTATTATGATAAATTCAAAATTTGATAATTATATTATACCATTTTAATATAAAAAGTCCTTTGTTTGATTACCGAAATTGGAGTATTGTCCTTTAATAGTAATAAGTAATTCTGTATAAGAATACATTTTGGCATTTATTATTGTTTATATTTTTTTTTGCCACACATATTTGACCAATTGTTTTAAAAATTTAATACTTGGTATGTTCATTAGAAACATGACTCAAGTAAATTTATTTACATTTTTAATTTTTTCAAAATATTCAAAAAGCGTTAAATACATCAAATGTCAACACCAGTTGGCTCTCTTCCTGGTGAATATATTTATATTTATAGGAAGGTGAACCTAAAGAAAAGAAAAAGACTTTGTAAAAATAATAAAAACAACCGATTTTAGTGAATTCATAAAGAGTATGTTGATGATAAATTCTTGGTCGGCTGAGGCTGGACATCACTGTTTATTTTGTACAAATTTAATTTCGAGTTTCAATAATAAGTACAAATGTAAACATTCTTTCTTTCTTTGTTGAAGATAAGATATTGGTTTAATATTTCACAGTTATTACAATGAAACTTTAATATATTTTTCAAAAAATATCAAACAATCAACATTCGTAAAAAATAATAGTAAGATTTATCAATAGATCATTTTTATTTTGTTACACTTCCCCTCGCTTAAGTTCTGTCAATTCTTATGGTTCAATTAATTCTTTCAAGATTCTTTGTGGCATTTTCTTTAATTTTTGTATAGTAAGATATTTTAGTTCTAAGGTTATTAGAGGGGTATAGGTTTAAGGATTCTGTATACTCTTGTTGTCGCTCCAGCTGTTTCGTGCATAATTTTCCACTTCCCTAGCTTATATTTTTTCCAAAGTATGGATTTTTGTAATCGGTGCTTCAGGTATTAGATGCTTCACATATGGAAGCTCTCCTCTGAGTAAATGAGTTCATTGTACAAAATTATTCAATTCGCCAAGAGTCATATTTCTCAAGTGGTCAAATTTTTCATAAAGTGAATTAATTGTATAATGGAAACAAAAAGAAAATTTTCTTTAAATTCTTTGTCATATATTGTTAACTGTTCTGATTACTTTAAATCTACGTCAAACTCAATTTACAATCATTGTCATATTTTTCAATTAATGAATTTAATGTCCACATAATTATCAAGAAAAAAAAGTAAAAGTTGCCATCATAAAAGAAGGAAATAGACAGGATAATAAAGAATCCAATTATGTATATATAATAAGTTTTTATTTTATTTTACATGTATATATATATATTCATATAGTTTTTATATTTTGAATAAAAATCTTCAATAGTCACTAAATAATTGATTTTTGTTACTTCTAATTCTTCTTTTGTTATCTCTAATTTTTCTCTGATCCTTCTAATAAAATAATAAGATACAGTGTGTAACAAAAAAAACCGGAAATTTTTTGGTGCAATTTAGAAAAAGGATGTTTTTTGTTCTTTCTAGCAGC